CAGTCCACCGGATGTTAAGTGGTTGCTGTGGCCCATAGACATCTACATCTATCCTCGATTATGAATCAAAACGCAGATGCGTTGTCCCCTGAGGACTAAGATGCATTGGCTTGTTACTAGTAAAAAGGGTCTCTGGCTCTCTACACTTACCCTTACGAAACTGCTTTAAGCTGCTATTTTACGCTGGTATGCTGTGAGAGTGTGGTCCTTCCCCGGCCGTGCCGACCCCTTCATGCTACAACTATAGCAGTAATGAGGCTACAGCATGGATCTACCACGTAAACATTTGATGATTTATAGACACTGTTACATTATACCTGTATTAATAGTTACGATAAAATGTTATCTAGTTTAATTAAATATAATATTAATATAATAATTACCTTCAGTAACATTGTTCTTTGGCATACAAGTCTTCTTCATAAGTTTACCAGCATTCTTAAGTTGCTGCCTTGTCATCTAAAAATTTAACAAAACTAACGTTTTATTAAATTTTTTGTTAAAAAAATAGCAATTAAAAAAATTTTTAAATAAAAAGTAAATGCCTGTAGCCTCGTAATTTGTATTCGAATTTTAGTTTTTATTTGAAGTTTAATATTTAAACGCGAGGGTGAAAACTGGCAGCGACCACCGATTGGAACACTGAACCTAAACGTTAGGTTGGACAGGTCACGTCTAATGAAGTCAACACTCCGCGTTCTAATCCAAAGCCCGAAATTTTCAGCTCAAGTTACAAAATCCTTTTCAGTGCTTAGAAGACTGCAATACAGTGGACGATATGAATGACAAGCTCGTGGAAACTGTCTATACGATTAGATCTAAGCCCTGCCAGACTCGTCGCAAAAAACACGCAAGTATTCCGATTCTATCCTGGACGTCAGTCTGAGCGCAATTAGAATGGCTCTCCAACACTTTAAAAACGGCAAGTCCGGGCGTAACGGGCGAGGATGGAATTACAGCGGAGCTTCTGAAAGCGGGTGGAAAACCGATGCTTAAAGTCTTTTAGAAGCTCTTTAATTCCAACCTCCATGGTGACATTACTCCAGAGAGATGGAGCAGAAGTGCGATGGTCTTGTTCTTCAAGAAAAGCGATAACGCTGTCTTGAAGAACTGTCGTAGTCGAAGGGAAATTCTGTGCCGTGCTGCTTTCGAGTGTCATTACGAGTCGTCTCACACGCAGACTCGACGACTTCCAGCCTCCCGAACTAGCCGGTTTCGAAAAGGCTTTAACCCGTAGACCACATACAAACCGTTCGACAAACTGTACAGAAGTCTGAAGAGTACAATCTGCCACTTTGTACTGTCTTGGGTGTGGCTTATGACATAGCCTTTGATTCTGTTGAAATTTGGGCGGTGCTGCATTCCCATCAGCGGTGCCAAGTTTCAGAGAGGTGTAAGACAGGGTGACGTTACATCATCGAACTTTTTCAAGCTACTGGACTGGAAAGGATATGGTATTAACATCAATGGCGGGTAAATCGTCACGTTTTTTGCCCCCTCGCGTCACATTGCTCGAAGAATCGACAAACGATGGGGAAGAAAGTTTCTCGAGTTGCAGCCTCGTACCGGTAGGCTGGTTGTATGGCGGCCTCCTACTACATTGAGTGACGACCTGGTAAGAAATGCAGGAAGTCGATGGATACAGGTGGCTCAGGACCGTGCTTTGTGGCATTCCTTGGGGGACATCTATATTGAGCAGTGGACGTCTGAAGGGCTGTAATGATGATTATAATGATTTTAACGTAATTGTATCTAAGGATCATCTAAGAAATAACGCAAGCTAAACTGAAATGTCGCCTAGTTTTATTTCGAGTTCCACCTCTAATTTTTATTTTAAACCAAGTAAAAAAAATCATTAAAGTCGATGCACGAATGCGAAGATATCGCGTCACATACATATAGCTTTTTTCTTAAAATTACGAGTACTTACTGCGTAGCTATTAACAACCCATAAGCTTGAAATAAACAAAATCCACTTAAAATGCATTATTACTTGTATGTACCACCATTTAATCTTAAGAATTAGAAGAATGAAATACATTTCTTCCTTTATATATTTTTATTTTCAGTAATCACTGCATCGTGATAGATAAATTATATTCTAATAGACAAGTTGCCTACATACTAGCTTATTACTGTCTCATTTATCAACGCCCATCTCTTTAAATAAGGATCAAAATGCAGAGCTTAGCAAAGACAAGCAACTGACTGCTTACAAAATAAATATTAATCTATGAAATATTATCAAATTGGTTATTCAGTAGTTTATAAATAGTCAAATAAAATGTTAAATCCGCCTATTCCTTCTTTCCTAAAATCAGTAAAATGTGAACAAAACTAAATAGATATCTAATTATTTTATAGTAGGTCTGTCATCATCATTATAGCTCCTAAATACGCCTCCCCCATAGATGGACTCATCTAACTCACCTGCATCCACCGACTTCCTGCATATCTTCACTCCATCAAGTGGGAGGCTACCCAATATGCAAGCGATATAATATGTCGGTTTGGTTACTCTGGTTGCTAGAACGTAATTCGTCACATTTAAAATCTCTTTTTCTTAATCTAGATAGGTTTTGAAGGTATATAACAATTATTTCTCCAAAATTCAAGCAAAATTCATTCCTTACCTGCAATCGATACGCCACGCAAATCGACAGACGACTCAACTCAATATCCAGACTAAACTAAATCCAAATAAAGCACGTGGATATGGACACGTTTTTTTCAAGATATATTTACCAATCCAATTGACTTAAAATGTAAGTATTTAATTGCAATTTTAATGCTATATTTACCACGTGCTCTGTGGTGAAGAGAACATCAAGTTACATGTCTAAGATATTAATAATGTTATAAAATTAATGAAACCGCATATCCACTACTCTCACTGAAAAAAAAAACATCTGTTCCAAGCCGTATAACGTAAGCAGTCATCACTTTTATTTTACTTGCAATATATGAAAGATCAACCCCTTTCGGCGCCAATGACATTGTTAATTACAATTTAGAGTGTTAATTTATCACATGTTTGACGGTAAAAATTAAAATGTCAGAAAATATGCATGTCTTAGATATGAGGAAATGTAAAGTTCGTGCACGTATGAAAATATAAAGTAGCGTGGTATACGGTTTTGTTCCATAATCCTCTCAGAAATGAACGGAGACCTGGGCCCTTCAGCAGGAAGTAACTAGGGTGTTAATTTACACGTATACGAAATGTTTTCATCTAAAAAGCCGTCTAAGTAGGTCAGGTGCTAAACAATCGTTGTAAAACACACAGTAAAAGATCTAGCCGAGTTAGTTTGCCATAGTCACCAATGAAATTCTTAATTACAATTCTAAGTGCTGATTTACAATGTGCTTGGCGGTGAAGGAATATATCGTGTCTCGGCATATCGAATCCTTACAACAAGAAGCATTGGGGCAACGTAGCGGACATTTCTTTGCCCGAAATCCATCTCAGAAATGAGAGGAGTAGGCCTGTGCCCAGATGTAGGACACATATATAGGCTATAACTTTAGTGTTACTTACTTTTATGTAAGTACCTAACTACGAGTATTATTCCATATCTCTGTGTACTCTAATATGAGAACGAATTCATTGATACTTCCGCCTTACACTTACAGTACCTATAGTCTTAGAACCTAATCTGTTAATTCACGATCATTAATCAATTACTTTAGAGGACAGGTTTTAGTGTGACCACGATTTTTATCATTTAGATTTTAATTTATTTGGTTATTCATACAAATAAATAAAAATATGAATACATACGCAAAATTATTCACTTCGAAGAACCTCATTTTCAGCATCATCATCATCATCATTATCAGCCTCTTAAAAATCTACTGCTAAACAAAACCTCTCCCATAATTTAGCTTCATAGGGGAAATTCTTGAAATGTTTTTTATTATTATATTCAGTCGTTATCTGGAGGTTGCTGATGTCTGACTCATATGCACATTCGAAGAACCTATTTCGTAGCAAGTATATAGCTGTCATAGAAGTATAACATTATAAAGTCATAGAGAAGAACTTACTTAAACTCAATTTAAGTTCAAAAAATAAAACGAGCGTGTCATGATTGCGCACTATACGCTTATATTATTGAGTTGGTTTGAGAAAAGATGACCATTGCTCGTCATTCGTTTCAAACATCTTCTTGTTGGTAGTGCAGATCAGTTGCTCTTTAGTACGTAAAGAGCAACTAATGTATGAGAAGTATTTGATCGTGTGAGCTGGTATATAAAAAGAAGAAAGTAAGGGTAACGGCTGTGAAATGTTATTAGGGTTTATTAAAAATCTGTATGCTACGTCGGACCGCTGAGCAGGGAATCCATGTCACTAAATAATCTTTGACTGACTGGCGCTGGGGAGCCCCGGTACTAAGATGAGAACATTATTCCATGTGAGGCCAATCCTTGTAAAGTTGCAGGAGGTTTGCCGGCATTAAATACCGTCCTGCTTTGTTGAGCTCGCCAAACTTTTTAGAGACCAATTTGGCCTTCTCTTCCAACTGACCACGAAACTGCATGTCCCTCGATATGATACTAGATATCATTATTCATTAGTCAGTAGTTTTCTTATATTTAGGTTAGTTATAGCATCGCCTTGGTTTAATAACTGTAATGATGTTATAATTGTGTAATAAATAAATAAATAAAATGTCGACGCCGAGGATTCCGATACTGGCTGAGGCACCGAGGGGAGTACCCTGAAACTAAGAAGATATGACAAAGGGGTTCTTTTTAGCGGTAACGGACACGATAGTCTTCTAAAACCCTGTTGGAAATAAAAAGAGCCTGTGTCCGGTAGAGACGTACCTTGACACTAAATTTATTCTTTACATGGTAACCAAGTCTCAAGATTTTACATTTTTATAGTGTCAGTAATATCGTTTCATCAGGTGTTAAATGTTACAGTCATTGATTAACAACTACGCTGCGTATATAGGAAGCAAATGTAATACAAGATTTTCAGAAATCCAGAGGCAATGTCGGTTTTCGCCGCTATAGCGAAATTTTTATTTGTATTAACGGTTTGTGAAGCGGTAAGTAAAAGTAAGACATAATAATAAACTTTTTATTTAATTATTTTAAATTGCATTTTATTTTAAATTGGCCGTTTTAACATTAAGTAACATTACAATACCGTTTAATAAAGGTGTAATATAAATAGCCGATTTAAGGTGAAATTTGTTATATGCATAAAGAATATTTCGTCGGTTTAAAAACTTTCGAAAGGTAAAGTAGTCAGCAAGAACATTAGCACCTTATACCTTGGCCATGGTTAGAGAAGTAGAAGGGAAATTATACCATCTCGATCCACGGATAACTTATGGGAGTATGTAAGAGATGAAACATTAAATTCAGACAACGTACGGTTCCAAAAAATTTTATTCCAGGTCTACGATTACTTTAGGGCAGATGATTTTGTACACAGTTTTGTGCACACACAAAATCATTTGACCTGAAATTCCCATTATGGAGAATTACTTATATTGTGTAAAGAGTCTGGACTGCGAATACGTCTTCGAGGATTACCTACAGTAATTCCTTAAAAGTCAAAAAATGGCTAACACTGCCTAAAATCCGTAATCCTATTAATATTATTCTCAGTCCATACCTCGAAACTTAAAATTACATAAGCTTAAAAAGAAAATTCAAAACTTATAAAAGTTCTTATACAAATCAAAAAAGTTAATGACAAAAAATATTGCATAATAAAATAAGCCTAATACCTTTTTTAAATACTTTATATCTGTGTGTAATCCCGGTCAGTGTGATAAAAGGGAGGCGCAAGACCTGGTATCTAATAGATAACCGGACACATCAAATGCGCATAATTAAAGTTTTTGAAATACAAGACATATAATAAGAGAAATTAATATTTCGTTTGTCAAATGTAATTTTTCCAAATCTTTTACCGTTGCGAAATGAGATTCTTACATACAGAGAAAAGTTCATAAAAACGGAATATGATATACCTATTAATAACTCGAGCGTGATCTATGACAGACGACAAAAAATAAAAAAAGTTAATATTTGGAGCACGTCAGTATAGCAAACCCGATCAGACTAGTCATGAAAAGCAGCAACTGTTTACAAGCGCGGTGGCTATCACCCTCTCCGATCATATTAAAGGGAAGCGAAAACCCGTAACACGACGCTGTCGCATGCATAGACCTGTAAGCGAGCTTGACATACCCAAGCCCGTCACACACTAAGATGTATCTCCCAAAATACACAAAATGATGATTTAGCTCCCATTTGCTGAACTCACTTGTAGATTTTCATGTGACCACTCGCTACATAGTTCTAGTACAAATATTTTTTTTTTTTTATATATATACATTCTTAGATGCTTCCTTAGTAGTTAGGTAGCACTTAATATCTAATTTTACTATATAGCAAGTGTTCTAGGTTAAAAGTTAAACGTTACAGTACAACCACAGAACTTCATTCCAGTCATTAGGGACTCTCTCTGCCTTTTTTGTTTAAGGTTTCAGGTGTCCGTATTCTGCGGTGGCCACTTATCATCAGTTGGACTGTTACTTTGCTTGTCTCGCTCATATTCGTCACACATGTAGTTTTCTCACTGGTAATTAATAATAATATTTTAATAATTAATAATAATTATTAAAATATTATTAAATATTATTAATTTAAAAATATTATTAAGCGTCGAATTAATAATTAATAGTAATTATTAATTCGGCGCTTTCTAACTCTGAGTACTTGCACAGGCACAACCTAGTAGCCAGAATTCTACACCAGGAGCTCGCTCTGAAATACGGTCTCGTGGACCGGAAATTGCCGTATTACAAGTACTTGCCGGAAGCCGTGCTCGAAAATGACCGCGCCAGACTCTACTGGGACCGGGCCATCATCACAGACAGGACTATTCTTACGAATAAGCCTGATATTGTGCTGATGGACCGGGCACAGTCAAGGATATTTTTGGTCGATATTACCATCCCGTATGACGAGAACCTCGTGAGAGCCGAAACAGATAAGCAATCAAAATATCTGGACCTGGCTCACGAGGTGACCGACATGTGGGGTGGTCTGCCGGCCGAAATTATTCCTGTAGTCGTTTCTGCGAATGGGCTAATCCCAGTTAGCCTCTCTGGTCATCTGAGGCGACTGGGACTCCGTGACGGACCGCTCCGGGCTCAAATACAGAAGGCGGTGCTCCTTGATACTGCCCGCATCGTCCGCCGGTTTCTTTCCCTTTCCCCCTAACCCTTGGCAGTTTGGTCTCCCCTGCCGAGGGCTTCCATCTGGTTGGGCTTTTATTTATTTATGTATTTTTGTATTTATTTTATTTTATTGATATTTATGTATATTTATCCTTTCATTTTCGTTTATAATTATATATTTATACATCCCAACCAGATGAGAATTAAAAAAAATAATAATAATTAAAAAATAATAATTTTAATAATTGATAATAATATTTAAACCCCTTCATGTGTTTATATAAATAGATTTTTGTATATTTGCTGTTTAAAACATTTTAAACATTTTGTATAAAAATTGGATTCCAGGTGTTTTAACTGATTCGAGGTAGTTTTTATGAGTAGGTATTTTATATTTTATTGTTTACGAATAATCACTTATAATTAAATTGCCTATCTAACCTACTTTTCAGATGACTATGAAACAAATAAATTCTACGGGTAAAATGATGAGGAAGTCTTGTCAACCAAAAAATAACGTAGAAGATGGTGAGAATTATGTTGATATATTTTAAGCTTTATAGCATTTATATTTAAGAAATATTTTATTTTCAATTAGCAAAAATCGACCCAATTAATGAAGGCGTTTTTATCGAGGAGAAGGAAGTAATGTGTTACATTGCTTGCATTATGAAAATGGCAAATGCGGTAAGTGAATTTATAATCTTTTCTAAGTAATTAGAGTCTTTCATAGTTCGTTAATTTATATACGTTATACAATTTCATTTATGCTCGCAAACATTATAAAGAAAAAGTCTGATAATTGTCATAATCTATAAATACACTAACTTGCCAGGCAGACGTTGTTCTGACCTTTTCGACGACCCTTTGTCATGTCCTATTAAAAATACTTGAATTCGCAAAACAAAATTGTGGGTCATTCATGTGCAAAAAAACTATCCTATCTCTCAAGCTGGACCAAACTGCACACGGTGTGCAAATTTGATTAAAATCGGTTAAGTAGTTTAGGAGTCCATCGCGGACAAACAACGTGACACGTAATTTATATAAGGTAGTTGATACAAATAAGGCCTATCTAATTTTAAATGGCTATATTATCAAAAATATAAATGAATGTAATAAAATACATAGTTAATTAGCATCTTTTATTCATTAATTAAACGAATCACAAAAAACTTTTCAACTTTTTAACAAAATCTTAACAAAAAATTAACTTTCTAAAACAAACATTTTGGCCAAATTAAATCGCGTATACGCAACAAAGCCTATATACTTCAAATTAAAAATTCTCCAAAACTAATCTTAAACTTAACAAAATGAGATTTCATAATATTAGACAGTTTGGTTTCCTAAAGTTATAAAAAGTTTAACAAAGAAATAAAAATATTTAGCCTTTTTATCATGCGATTAGAATAAACCTTCTATTATTAACAAAATTAAGTAAAACATCAATGAAATTAAATTGTCACTGTAACAAATAAATACTTAACTACACCTTTATTCCAAAAAAATACAAAAAAAAAAAACTTTTTTTTATTATTTTTTTGGTAGGCCTTATTACAATACCGTGTCTGTATTGTAAATACGTTAAGGCCACAAAAGAAAACAAATTAAAATCAAATTAGCAACTTTCATCAGTCTTAAATTCTTATAAACTAAAAGAGATCTCAAATTAATCACAGTCAGTACATAAAAAGGCGTTAACATCCTCTGTCGTAAGTCCAATGCATTCATCGTGATACCACCTAGAACAGTCCCTGCAAGATCTCATATCTGCGACTTTGTCTTCATCACAGGCGTGACAGTACCAACTTTCTTCCTCCTTATTTTTCTTCCTCCGTCTTGTTTTTACGTTCTTCTTAGTGCTATTCTTTTCATTCTTTTTATTTGATTTCGAATTTGTGTCTTTTCTTACAGGTTTTTTTTTAATTTATCTGAAATTGCTTTCTTTTCACCGACTTTTGTATCTTTAATTTTAAACAAATCTTTTGTTACTCTTTGACCTTTATATTTTAAGGCTTTTTTTCGTGGTCTAGTTTTAATATCGCCATAATCAGGTGTTGGCATAAATTTCTGGAATGGAGATTTTGTACTTATTTGCGCTAAAGAGACGTTATCTTCATCTGGTGAGTCTTGTGATGAATTTCTTGGGCTTGTAGACGTACATTGAGGCCGAGGTAGGTATGAAATTATTGGACTTGCTGAAATGATAGATTTTGAATGCTGAGATAGAGGTAAAATATGTTCGGATCTTTCAGGTACTTGGTTTATTTTTGATTTAGGAGACAGATGTACATCTACGGCGACCTCAAAAGTTTGTGGAGATTGAGGAACAGATACTACTTTGGATCCATCGTTCGTGACATCTGTTTCTGAATCAGTAGACGAATAAATCCTCAAACGTCGTACTGGAAGAGGTCTGTTTAAAAATTTGCTGATAACTTTAGATTTTACAAATTTTCTTTTAGTTTCAGTGTCAGAAGATTCGTCTGTGTCGCTGTAAGCTACAAGAGACTGTTTATTGTGTATTCCACTAGTCCACGGCAGATTTTCATCATCAGCGAATGCTGGCGTATGACGCACAGAAGAATAATTTTCAAATACTTGAATATCTGGCGTGTCAGGTGTTCCTGGCAGAATTTCTGTTGCAATCAGATCTCTTAATTCTCGTAAAGTAGCAATGGGCGGCGAGGAGCAGGAGTCCTCATGTGTGTCCATTGCAGTATCGGAGTTTGGTGAAGGATGTCCAAGTACTTCATTTTCATTTGACAAGACTGAATGGATTGATCGTTGGGTTAAAATTGATGGGGCAAAAGCAGTTTCTGATATTGCATTAGGATTAAGTGGATAAAGACCGGACGCACTGAACCCACTGGTAATGTTTGCAGTAGTCATACACTTGGCCCACACCCGTGTTAATATTTTATTGAACTGCTGTTTTGAGATTGCCTTTGCACGAGTTTCGTAAAGAAATTGTAAAACTTCTTGATCCCAATACGTCTCAAATGGTTGAAACAAGTCTTGTCCATAGGTTGCAACCTCGTGCGTAGTATTCGATGGCAGACAATACAGCACTATGTCATTTTTTTCAGCTTCTTCTACGATGCGAAAATCCAAGTGGCACTTTGCGTCATCAAAAATGAGTAAACATTTTCCAAATGTTTTATATTTGGCTAGGTGCTTAATAAAGATGATGAATAGGTCAGTTGTCATGCTTCCTTTTCTATCCATTTGAACAATAGACCCTGGAGGAAGATTTTTTTCATACTCTACCATCTTCCTTTTTCCTTTAAACAAAATCATTGGAGGTACAGGATTTCCAATCGCATTGGCGCAGCCAACAACTGTTACATTTTCTCCATGTTCTGCCACTTGTATGTGTACCCTCTTTGCTCCTTTTTGTGAGATCACTGTCTGCTGGTGATGTAACGTAAGCCTGCAGCCCTTTTCATCCATGTTATAATTTTTTTCTGGATGGTTATGCAATTTCAGTTCATCGTAAAGTTTTTTTACTTGTTCAAAATGGTGGAATACAATGGGTTTATTCAATTTTTGGGCACGGGCTGGATTTAGAAACTGTGCCTTACGTTTGGCCAGCTCTGGGTTTCTTTTTAAAAACAACCTCATCCATCCTTTTCCAGCAAGCCCTGATTGTTCGTTAAAGTTATGAGGAATACTAAATTTCTGACAAAAAAGCAAACGCCTGTATTCTGATCATTTTCGGGGTCAAAGGTATGCCCAGCTGCGAGAACTTTATTACTCGTTTTACAAAATCTTTTTCTTGATCTGAAGTGAATATAGTCTGTCTTCCTAATCTTTTGGTGATCTTCCCATTTTTGACATGGTTTCTTAGAGTTCTTCGCGGGATACCATATTGCGCTGATGCTTTATAAGTTGACATTCCATTACGTACCGCACGAACTGCCGCGGCCAAACTATCTTCTGACCAAGTAGAGCGTTTTTGTTTTGATGGAGACATCTTGCTGGGGACTGATGACAGGTACTAATAACTCTGCAATAGAATATTGAAAATTAAGAAAATAGAGATTTTCAAATCCGCCGACACTGCATTGTCACCAAAATCAATTATTATCACCAAATGGTCGGTCAAGAATTGATATAATGTACCAACATTGTTGAAAAAAGGGCGGTATATTCAATAAGGCCTGTGGTCACAAATAAGGCCTATCGCGCAACAAATAAGGCCTAGGCCTTATTAAACATCCCGCTCAAATTGTCTTTAAAAATATACAAAAAGTACATCAACGGGCAAATCTTAAGTCTAACGACACAAAACGTTAGTAAATATATTAAGAAAATAGTTGTTTAAATTATCGTACACAAAAACTAAGTAATTTTACCTAAAAACTTACCTCGAAATCTCCAGTATTTTAAAAATTGGCGCGAAATCGTCCACCTTGCTAGAAGAACGCGTGCCAACTGGCGACTGGGAGGGGTAGCGGGACGCCCACGCATTTGTGTGATTCATAGGGCCGTGACATGCGGTCGCGTCAATTATTATTAAAATATTGTTCATTTCTCTAGGTTTTTCGGTTAATAGGCCTTATTACAACATAGGCCTTATTTGTATCAAGTACCTTATGTATATTAAGAAGATAAATAAAATGAAAGTGGCTAATAGTGGTAATATTGAAAAAAGCGGTCTTCCATACGACTAACTTCCCAGTGGAAAGAATAAGAAAAATATCACATGTTTTAATATTTTATACAATTTTTCATTCGGCACAAAAAACGACTTGACCGATTTTGCTCAAAACTTAATGAGGTCTAAGTTACAAAATTATGCGTTAAATAAAACTAGGCCCATGTCAATATCACTCTTTGTTCTCGAGATACACGAGGTGAAAATTGAATCCGAACATACATACATACACATGTTCGTGTGCACATACGTACATGTGCACACGAACATCCTCTTGAAAACCATACTATTCGACTCTAAAGACCTTGAAACGTTTCCAATTTGCAAAATCGGACTCATTACAATAACTTCATACTGGGAAGTTAATATTGAAGTTATTTGAATGGTATTAGGGAATGAACAAACATTTTTTTATTTTTTCCATCTGTCTATCTGTATGTCTGTTCAGCCTAATCTTCGGAATGGCTGAATCGATTTTGATGAAGCTTCAGAAACAGATAGAGAGCAATGCCAGAAGTTATCTAGGCTATATTTTATTCGACAACCTTGGAGATATATTTTGGGATATCGAAAAATGGTAAAAAATAGTTGATCGATTATTTTCTTAAATCTAAAAGTTGACATAAATGAAATTAATAGATATCGCTAGTTCTCGTAAATACTAACCACTTATCTATAAATCCCACAAGGAACAACTTTTATCAAGCGCTTCTTACTATCTAAAATTGACGATGATCCAATATTGCAGATAAAAAATGGTAAAGTTAATTATGAAGCTGCAATAAAACAAGCCGATTTACTTCTACCCGAAGAAATAAAGGAACATGCAAAAGCTGCTTTAACTGCTTGTAGAAAAGTCCGTAAGTTTTTCTTTGATTTAAAAATATATAAAGCTAGACGGCAAGTTAAAGCACTATTTGTGAAGAAGTATCCTAATTAACTGTTTCACGCTGGTATTCTCACAGAATACCAGCGTGAAATAGTAGCTTAATGCTGCTGTATTTCGTATGGTGAGTGTAGAGAACCGGCGACCCAATTTACTGGAAACGAGGCATTCCATCTTAGTCCTCACGGGTGACAACACATCTGCATTTTGATTCGTAATCGAGGATAGATGTAGATGTCTATGGGCCACAGCAGCCACTTACCATCAGGTGGACTGTGTGCTCGATTGTCACCCTATCCTATAAAAAAAAAAAAAAAAAAAAATTAGTAGATTTATATACTAATCATATCAATATACTTATAAGCATCGATATATATGTACTACACACTACATACAACTCAATGCTTGTAACTGATAGAGCTCCTTTTCTGTCCAGGAGTCTCTCTTGTCAATACCGTCCTAAAGGATATAAATAGCTTAAAAGCTATATTTATCCCTCTAAGTAGCAGTGCACCTATTATTGCACTTTGGTTTAAAGCAAAAAAAAAAAAACAAAATTAATATTAATGTGAGGGCGACACTGAACGTTTTTAGAACTGGCCAGTTGTAAACGATATATTAAAAAATAAGTTCAAATTTTGAAAATGGAACTCTTTGCCAATATTGTTGTGCATGTATTTTATTAGTTTGTCACATTGAAGTACTTACGTACTAGAACAGCTATCTCAAACAAAACGCCCGGTTGGTTTTTTTTATCATAGAATAAGCATAAGTAGAATGATCCGTAGGTAATAGCAGATTGTATTGTTAAATAGGTAAATTATATCGAGAACAATTTTTAAATTTTGTCATTTATTTTGTATATTATATTTGCTTATTTAATCTAATATAACATATTATTATATCACAATTACATTTTAATGATATTTTTATCTGAATATTTTAAAGGTAAAAACATACTAAATGTATGTTTAACAAAACTTATTAACAAAGAATAATTAGCAGAATTGAACATGAAAAAGTTAGCCTAATTATAATAACTTATATATGTTTCTACAAAAAAATGTGTATAATAACATATTCGTCCTATACTTAAGTACCCACAGAAATGTCGCATCTTGAACATATCAATTTCATAATGTGTATTCCATGACACGAGATGGCGTCTTAGGAATAATTTGTTTTATTATTAGTCTATAATACTTTTTTACTGATTAAGTATCTTATTAACCGATGAAAAGTAATTCCTTGGTTTTTACTGACATTTTTTGAATTATTTGTGCAATATCTAAGTACACACGACGGCATGTTTTTATCGTCATTTTTTTTAATCAACACAACACGTGACAACTCTACAAGCGCCTAGCAAGTGACTAATTATAGTGCGGTGTATGCACCGCAGTTGAGTGAAACAGAGTAGCTGAATGCAGTGTCGCCTCTATACATAACAGCTCAATGGTTTGTCATTTGTTTATGATTTGGCGGCAAATTGAAAATTGTCTGTATCACTTCAGCACGAATTTAACGCGAGAAAAATTTCGTACAATGATTTTTGTGACTTTCGATGTCATTTAAGTCAACAAGAAAGTTATGATAGACTTTGATTGGCCTTTCACGATGAAGCCCCATCTCGTGCCACTGTTTGCAACCGGTTTAATGAGTTCAAATGTGGTCGCACTAATCTCACCGATCTACGTGAGGGATGGCATTCTATGGCGACTTCTGAAGATAACATCAGTGTTGTGCGGCATATGATAGAAACAGAAAAAAGTTTGACTTATCAGCAGATTCGGATAAGCTTAGGTATCGGTGTGAGTCAAGTGCACAAAATCCTCCATTAACATTTAGTGGTCAGGAAACTTAGTGCCCGGTGAATACCTCATAATTTGACGGAGACTCAAAAACTCTGTCGTATTGATTGGTGTCGTGAAATGATTCAAAGATTTAACGGAGGTTACTCAAACACTGTGTTCGACATACTTACGGGTGACGAAAGCTAGATTTTTTGTTATGATCCTGAAACTAAGAGACAGTCTGCTGTCTGGGTATTTCCTTCCGAGGAGTTGCCAACTAAAGTGAAGAGAGGTCGAAGCTTAGGAAAACAGATGGTGACCTCGTTCTTCGGAAGGACATTACGCAACAATTGTTTTAAAGAATCAAAAATCAGTTACTGCAAAGTGGTACACTAACAATTATTTGCCACTTGTCTTGGAAAAAGTTCGGGAGAAACGACCTCGCAGTAGAATCCTCCTTTATCACGACAATGCCTCGTCGCACACCGCCAAGCAAACAATCGACTACTTGGCGACGTCAGACGTGGTATTACTGGATCTCCGACCTCGCACTTCGCGATTTTATTTATTTCCGAAAATAAAAAAAAACTTCAAGGAAACTATTTTATGAACGCCGAGGAAGCAGTGGCCGCGTTTTAAAATGCCGTCGAAGAGATCCCTAAGGACGAGTGGGCAAAGTCCTCAGTGGTACCATCAGATACAGCGATGTATTGATGTAATTGGACACTATTTTTAAAAGATATGATAAAACTAATAACTTGCTAGTTTGTTCAGTTTTTGATTTTCTAAGAACTTTCAGTGTCACCCTCGTAAACATTAGTTCTATAAAAAAAAGAAAGCGAATTTATAAGTCTTTATTATAAATTTGCTTTCTTTTTTTTATAGAATATTGTTACAAACGAGCACACAGTTCACCTGACGGTAAATGGATACTGTGGCCTATAGACATCTTCATTTATACTCGATTAATAATCAAAATGCAAATGCGTTGTCACCCGTGAGGACTAAGATGAAATGCATCGTTTTCAGTAAAAAGGGTCTCGGTTCTCTACACTCACACAGCAACATTGAGCTACTATTTTACTTTGGTATTCTGTGAGAGCGTGGTCCTGCCCCGGTCGAGTCGACCCATTCGTGCTACAACTATAATATAGCAGTAGCGTGGCTCTATCACCACAAACCTTTATCTGAATACTTAATGTGAGCAATACTTGTATGTGTGTATATCTTTTTATATTAGTGAAGGGACAAGCGAACTTAAAGTCCACCTGATGGTAATGTCTGCTGCAGTCCACGGAGCATGGACACCTGCATTGTTACTTCTGAGGACTGAAATGGAATGATTCACAAACTGTAATAATACTGGTACTCTATACCCTGACTGCCTCGTTGGTCTAGTGGTTGTAGTAGTGCGACTGCTGATCATGAGGTCCTGGGTTCGAATCCCGGGTCAGGCCAAAAAATTAATTATTGAGTTTTTCCGTCAAGAAATTCTCAGTAGTTGCCCGGAGTCAGGATTTTGGTGGTGTCTCACCCCCGTGCCTCGGAAAGCACGTAAAGCCGTTGGTCCTGCGCCTGATCTCTCTCCGGTCGTGTCGGTTTACCGTCCTATCGAATTATGAGAGTGACGGAATAGATAGTACACCTGTGCTTGCGCATACACTTGGGCACTATAATCCTGTCCTGCGCCGATGACTAGTCTCCCCTGAGGCAGGCCGCCGTGGCCGAAATTCGGTCTGGAGGACATTATTATTATTATTACTCTATACCCTACCGATATATTTACATAAATGTAATCGTTTTCTCGAAAACGGCAATAAGGATTTCGATGAAATTTCGGTTTTGTAATAATGTTTATTATCCGTGTTTATTTTAAATACGTGACATCCCTGAGAACATTTTCTTCTAACGCCATGCCAAGCTCTGTCGCCCAGGTACTGTAGTAAATGTGAAGTAAATATTCAAAGGTGTAGTAAAAGGTTAGTGAGCGCTAAAACGGTATGAACTTAGCGTTAACAAGCCCGTTTGCTCAATTTGGGGGGTATGGACAAACATTTCAGCAAACTTGTGCCATCTTAGTCATTCTTAGAACAGCTTATGTCTAGCTAGCTATTTTAGCCTATTCTTTTTTAAAACACTGGCAGATGCACATCTGCAATTCCCCTGGTGTTGCAGTTGTTTATGGATGACGGTAGTCACTTACCATCAGGTGAGCCGCATACTCGTTTGCCCCCTCTCTTATAAAAAAGCTACGGACTAAACGGCTGATGATGGCGATTTTGTACCCAAAAATATAATGACTTTTTTATATGTTTAAGCGGATTCATACAACAACATATGCGAAGCAGCTTTCTACATGACGAAATGCGTTCACCGTGAAAACCCTGCCGCCTTTTTCTTTCCTTAACATAAAAAATATATAATAATGTACCTATGTAACAAAATAAAACATCTGTCTCTGTTATAGAAATAAACATTTTTTTGATTCGTTGATTTTTTTAAATAAAAAAATAAACCAATGCAACTTTTTCCGTGTATAATAAAGAACATGCGTGTTAAACCGTTATTACTGTGTTACGTAAACTTAAATCTTTCAGCTTTATCAATATTTAGTATATTATTTAAATGAATACAATAAATATTTTGCAATATATAATAAATATACTTACTATGCGATTTTTTTTCAATTACGTCGACTTTTCACATTATTCTTTTTGATTAATTTATGGAATTAAGTTATTTGAATCGTGAGAACACTAAAAATATTTCCCTTAAAGACTGCTACAAAATGAAATCTTGAGCTACCTGTACCTATATACCTGCACGTCTAACAAGGTCGTCTTATCATTTTGTACGTGGTCTGGTCCGCGCTTGCTAGTTGACAATCTTCATCGCTTCCTTCAGCTTCATGCAGCCAGCTAACCTGCTTCATATTGATCCGTTGGGCTACGTCGGTCTCTCTAGTACTACTTCCGATATCTTTGTGATTTGTTATCTATTAGGAATATGAAAGGAACTTGTGCTAGCCTGTAGGTCAGGTGATGTATATCTAAGCTCTTCATTGATTACAGCCTATCAAAATTCCACTGTTGAATATAGGCTTACCTTATAGTTATCACGCTTGGCTGGTGGATTGGCATTATCAATGCCAACCCGAGGCGTGTAAGTAGTCTATAAGGCAATCTATGGGGAAGGCCCGTGTTTTTGTCCAGCTTTGGACTCTTGAGAAGATGTAATGATTATGTTGATGACTACGATGATATAAAAAACCAGTATGATGTGGTCATCATAGTATAAGATGCTCTTGACTAGATGAAGTGACTGCATCTACACAAGGCGGCTGACAGCAAAGGAATGCATGTAGCTGAAGATCGGACTAGGTAGCACTCCCTGGCAAAGATCTATATCCAGCCGTGGACTAGACCTTTGACGATATCCTGGAAAAAGAAATTCTTCTCTCAACTTTATGCATATTATACGGTCTGTAGCCAGTGTAGGTGTTATTTCAATAGAAAATTACAGCGTTTACTATACAAACTTGGAAGCTATATTCTTTCCGTCACATTAATGTGCATGTAATTAACCTCAACCACATCAATTTAATACAATACCTGCACTTACATTTTATGAAAAAAAAAACAAATAAGTAGTATTTAAGAACTAAGACGATGATAAGCCGTACACGCATTAATACTTACATACCTCAATATTGCAAATTGTTATGAATAAACTGAAAATTTGAAAATGTTTTTATTCAGTCGTAGAAAATTAGACTTTATAAATTGCCACGTAAAGAAATCTGTTTAAATATTATGCATTATTCACAGATTTTGTAATGAATAAACTGAAAACTAGGAAATTCTTTTATTCAGTCGCAGAATATCAGCTTTTATAAATTATACAATTTATAAAAGCTGATATTCTGCGACTGAATAAGAATGTCAAAAGTGCCACTTGTCTACGCATTGAGATAATATCGTTCGTGTTATTAGTTTACTTTATCAATTCGTTACGCGATTGACACTGTCTAGCAATTAGCAGTTAGATAACGCTAAGACGAAATCGATTTTCGAAATGGAATAGACACGAAGCGATTGTCACTTGTCTAGGCCCCCTGGTTAACTTTCCATATAATAATAGGTAGGGAAAAAAGTTTCTTCGTATTTTGTTTGCATAAAATTGAAGCAAATTCTCTTTGGTTATTTTTTGTATCTGACTGGTTTTAATATAAATGCATATAGGATATTACTAAAAATATAAATAAAAGGTAAATAACAATCGATATATATATATATGTACTACGCACTAGATTTCGCTATGTTCATATGAACTGTACTGCAATCTGTACACCTGTTACGGAGAGGCGCTAATAATAAATTTATATTAAATTTGCACATATGCAAAATAAACGAAAATAAAAAAATTTACGCGATTAACAGTACAATCTAAATAAACAATTATTTATTATGACAATTTTCGCGCGTTTATATCAACTGCGCATGCGTGACTTTACTGTTTACCGCGCGGATACAGAGTACGGCACATTTTTTGTTTGGAATAGCTTCTCTAGGTACATAGTACATATAACTCAATGTAAATAACACTTTCCCGTCATTTTTCAATCGTTTTTCTGTCCGCCAAAATGAGTGAATATAACGAAGAAATTGGGTACATTCTGAAGTTTTGTTACAAAAAAAAACGAAAAAGCAACTCAAGTTGCGAAAAAAAATTGTTACGTTTGTGGACCTAATATAGTATCAGTAAGAGTAACACAAAGTTGTTTCAAGCATTTTTAGTCCGGGAATTTCGATGTTAATGATACAATGAGATTGGAAGGCCATCATTTGTTATGAGCTTTTACCACCGGGTGAAACCATCGATTCAGATCTCTACTGCCAACAATTAATGATACTCAATGTACAATTAAAAGAAATAAATGAAAAAATAAAACAAAAACAAAATGACCACACACATCTTTGGCCACACAAAATTCGAGAGAGCTTGGTTGGGAAGTGTTAATGTACCCACCATATTAGTCCTGAATTCTTTGGGTAGTGTTAGGTTAACATCAAGAGAGTACTATTGAAACTATTTGTCGCATTTTTTTTAAATCAAAAACTCCAAGATTTCTGCAACAACCAGATTATGTCAGTACCTACAAGATGACAAGTTACCGAACAAAATGGCACATATATAATAGAATTAAATGTAATTAAACTAAAATAATCTTCAATTTGTATATAAAATACGAAGAAACTTTTTCCCCGACCTTATATTACTAACAGGTCTTTACGTATGAAATTGTCGCTTAGCAGTACTGGCCATTTAAACTGCCACTACGTTGGCAAAAATGCATCGATTGTTTGGGTGATTCCTTTGATAAATAGATATAAAAATATAGAAAAAAAAATAAAGTAACTTATTTCATAGAAAACGTTATACGTATACGTACATAAATAAAAACAAAAACCTTATATAAAAATACCGTTTACTTGTTATGCAAAATACTATCATTCTGACTCGGAATATTAGCTTTTATAAATTGTATTGTACTGGTGTTCCCATAATACTATAAGAAGACCGTTTGGTACTCATTTGCCAATCTTTTCGTCCGATTACAATCTGTACGTCATTAAGGCAGTAGTGAATGGGCTTTGGTTACGCTAAAACAGTACGATTTGCCATATCTGATTATTTAACTTCATCGCCCCTCACCAGTGGGATTGTTGGGATCCCTTGGTATCAAAAAATCTCCGACCCCCATAAGGGGTTGCTTTGAAAATCACAAACCACGTATTTTGCAGTGTAATTACAGTAACTTTTTACGCGGTAGAGCCATGCTGTAGCTATTAGTAGTATACAGAAGTGATTGTAGCAGGAATGGGTCAGCTCGACCGGGGAAGATCCACGCTCTCACAGAATACCAGCGTAAAATAGCAGCTTAACGCTGCTGTGGTGAGTGTAGAGAACCGGAGACCCTTTTTACTGGAAACGACGCTTTCCATCTTAGTCATCACGGGTGGCAACGCATCGGCATTTTAACTTGTAATCGAAGATACTCGTAATATAATATTTTTCATACAAACTTTGTCAGTTGTTTTTAAATCTTAAGAGTAGATTTTATAAAAATAAAAAGTAGATATTTTATTATATCAGTTCAAGAGTATTTGCAGCATTATTAAATTTAAAGAAAAAAACGAAAGTTATCCTTTCTTTGGATGCCCTCATCTTAAAATGCGGGCACTGTCCAAATTTCAGATTTCTACATCGAGCGGTTTGGACTGTGCGTTGATAGATGAGTCAGTCACTCAGCACATCGTCTTTTATATTAGATAAATAGATTATCTGATAAAATCTAAATTAAATTTTAAGTACCTAAATTTTGAAATATTTTTTAATGACATAATTACGAGCGCTACTGATCATAAATAGATAATAGGGGTATCTATATGAATAATGATCATAATTACTGTAATCATGACAGTATTGTCGTTTTAAGAGACAATAGTAGAAATATAAATAAAAGTTATTATTTAAAAGTTTTACCTGTATTAAAGTAAGTGATCGAGAGGCAACATGTCAATGTTTATATTGGTACAATGTTTCTGTTTTATCGGCGCAGCTATGGCTTTAGTAAGTTTTTGTTTTTTAAATTTAATATTTAATAACGCTTTTATATAAATTTTTTTTCGTAAAATATAATTTATGCAGTATTGCATTCGCTAATAAAAAGTAAAAGAAACGCTGGGTGGAGCGTCACATTTTTTTATAGGATAGGGTGACAAACGAGCACACAGTCCGCCGGATGGTAAGTGGTTACTGTGGTCCATAGACATCTATATCTATCCTCGATTACGAATCAAAATGCAGATGCGTTTTCACCCGTGAGGACTTAAATGGAATTCATCGTTTCCAGTAAAAAGGATCTCCGGTTCTCTACACTCACCATACGAAACACAGCAGCATTAAGCTACTATTTGACGCTGGTATTCTGTGAGAGCGTGGTCCTTCACCGGTCGAGCCGACCCATTCATGCTACAACTATACCACTAATATAACTGCAGCATGGCTCTACCACGTAAAAAAAACATCTCGAGAGTACCAAAATTACAGATACATAAAGGCCATGAAAGAAGAGTGTCTTGAAATATATTTTGATAAAATATGTGACCGTGTAGTGCTGGTGTGAGAAGATCCACTGCCACATATCATCTCGTGGGTGTCGTGAGAGGCGACAGAGGGAAACAAATCAGGAGAGGGGCAGCAACGTCTTCCTGATAACTGCCCTAAGACAGTTTCGAACAGAAGCGATTAGTTTTTTCGCTACATAATAAAAACCCTCTGTTCAAAATTGAACTGGAATCAAATTGAAAATACTAATTGCACAACGCAAAATGTTAGGCTTAATCCTTGACTTTGTGATGCTTCGATAGTTTCCATCACTAATCATGTGTTTTGCATGCACAGTCTATGTATTAAAATTAATTAGTAGATATTGCTGAGAACTTCAGCAACTTTTACTCAAGCGTATTAGAAACCTTGGTAATATTTCCACTAATTTAAAATCCAAAACAAATGACTGGTTTTCTACTAATACAATGCTAAAACGATTAAATATGAACATTATAAGTTTCTATTTCTCATAAATTAGCACTCAATTGCTATAAATTGTTCATTTGTTCAAAATGTATGATAAAATAAAGATTACTTCTGACTTTTTTTAATATTTAGATAATAAGATGGGCACAAATAAGGTCCTAATTAGTTTATTAGTATAAACAACGGTTCCATGAGATTAGGACACTAAATATTTTTATGCTTTAATGACATTGAAATATTATTTGCATAATTATATTGTTTTTTTTTTTTCAATACAGACCCAACACGAAGCGGAGGTGAAAGATGTTTTTCTACTAAAACTCATTGAATGTAACGCGGAGAATCCTGTGAATGTTGATGAAATTAATATGCTAAAAAACCACACTATACCCGAAAGCAAGACCGCTAAATGCCTTTTAGCGTGTGTTTTTAAAAAAACATCTTGGGTAATACGAGTATTATCTTTATATTAACTAAGCATCATATCCATCCAGGATTTTAAAAGCTTTGCTAAGCTGAGCGAAGCTAAGCAGCGAAACTGTACCTTTTTTAATTAAGGTGGCGTAGCAAAGTACGAGGTTTGCTGATGATCAACTATCCACTTCAGCCGACTGCGCGATTTTCGCACTTCTCGCGTTGGTGTAAGCTGAATTTCCCTACAATCTCTAACGCTAATAAAAAACTTTTAAAATAAGTGAGAATGGCATAATTCAACATTATTATGTATCGTGGTAGGTAATGTTGAAATATGTCTTCCCTTAAATTGACGTAGAAATCGTTCAATATTGTAGCGCTTCTCGTGTTTTTCCTATTTCCTAATGGACATAATAGATTATAAATTACAAATAACAATTATTGAAAGCATCTTTTCGTTTAAACTTGTTTTACGAAAAATCAACATCAAACCCAGCACAACTTCTTTGTAGCATTCATTTAATGGTGATGATGATGATATCCTAGAACGTAGCATAGTTGATAGTGACAAGCTTTTTTTATATACACGCGAACACAAAGGCAAAAGTTATAATACTTATAACTTCAAACTTGTCAACTTTTAAAAATATGAAACAGAAAATGTTTTAATAAAAAAAGACATAAGAAATCTTAGTTTAGTTTAAAATATTAAAAAAAATTTTCAGTGATTATTTTTAATTTCACCAATTTGAAAGCGTTTTTCTAGTAATATTTTAAAAATAGAAAAAGTTGTAAACATATTTTTGAATTTCATGTCCTATTATGCTGTTATTTGTCATCCTAAGCGATTTTTTTATTTCAATTTACCTCCTGAAATTAACCTTTAGGTTTAAAACATTCTATCTCAAACATTCTAACTTAATTTGAATCTAATAATCAATTTTTTTTAGGTAAAGGTGATAAACGAGGACACAGTCCACCTGGTGGTAAGTGGTTACTGTGGCCCATAACTATCTACGTCTATCGTCGATTACGAATTAGAATGCGGATGCTTTGTCACCCATGAGGAATAAAATGGAATGTCTCGTTTCCAGTAAAAGGGGTCTCCGGTTCTCTACACTCGAAACATAGCAGCGTTAAGCTACTATTTTACGCTGGTATTGTGTGAGAGCGTGGTCCTTCCTCGGTCGAGCCGACCCATTCGTACTACTATATAATATAGCTGCAACATGACTCTACCACATATGGTTATTAAATGATCAAAGTAATATAACTGCCAATGACAAAAATACGAACGGATGGACAGACAAACAGACGTCCAATGAATGGATGCCTTTACATCCCTAATTTTAGAACACTAAAATAAAAACGACTTGGGAATTTTTTACATATATATATATATTTTTTATATAGAAGAAGGGGCAAACGAGCATGCGGCTCACCTGATGTTATTAAGTGAGTTTTTTATTAAGTAATTAACAGAGGTTATTAAGTTCAAGCCCCTTATTCAGAAGGCGAAGATATTTTATAAGTATGTAGATATACATTGAATAAACATGAAATAATAAATTATTTTTTCTTTTTTAGATAAATTTACCTCTACAGTAGGATTTTCTCCTGTGTAGTAAAGGCGATTTACATAAATTAATGACACAGGTACAACTCGGGGCACGAAAGTTTAGTTTGTATTGCGCATTATTGCGTATGATTAGCTGTGCGTATCGTTAGCATACGCTGATTGGCTCTCCAGTCGCATTTCGTCCCCCGTACGGATACGATATTCGCAGCTATCCCCTCCACGTTCCGTTCAGCGCTAGAGTTACGTGCAGCGACTTTTAACATTTCGAACCCACAACCCGTTGCATCGCAACCATACTTTTTGCCTCTACGCTATGGAGCCCTCTAATAGTTGTTGTCTAATAGTGATTACAGAATTATTCATTTGCAGCCTATGAAAAAGTGAGAGCGATTATTAATTTCACTTTTACGCAAAAACAATTCAAAGTCCGACCATTTTTTTGAATATTAACCTTTTTTGGATTTATAATTATTAGATGGACGAGAAAGGATTGTTCGTGATGGAAAATGCGGTTAAACTAACAGAAGAAAAACACCCCAAAAACTCGCCAGCACTGGAAAATTCTAAAAAACTGTTCGAACTGTGCACAAAAGGTTTATTGACATCTTCATATTATTACTATCGATTTTCAATACTCATTATTTCATTTAACTCAATTGTTAACAAAATTTAATCACAAACATAAAATTCACAGTAAACGAAGAGATTTTTAATGATGGAGAAGAAGACTGCGAAAGAGCTGCAAAGTTAGCTAGGTGCTTAATAGAGAACGCGACCAAGGTAATATTTATGATTATTAGAAGCTACTGACCAAAATTTTGTTTGCCAGACGTCACTTTTTCAAATCTGCTACCGTTTCTTAAGTTCCCCTAACTGGGAATAAAACGGCAAAAGGCACTTCGCAATCCGCTAACAGAACTTATAACCAAATTTCCTTCAGTGTATTTCGTAAAAGGCGACTGTGAGAAAGGTCTTCGGTATATGGAAACCGCATCTCGGATATGACAAACGTAAATACCCAAAGCGGAGACGTAGAGCAAAGGTGCGTGACGTTGTACTGCGATTGGCAAACCGCTTGCTACAGTGTGGCGATTAAAGCAAATGTTTTCTATCAGAATGAATGCTTGAAAACCAAACACTTTATAGAAGCCCATGTCCATGTGAACGCTGTTCAATTTCAGTACTATTAAATGTCCACTGAAGCTGAATACAAGCTGAATACAGGCCTCGCTCTAAAGGACTAGCTGCCAGTAGTTGCCACGTTTGGCAGGCGAGTTGGAGATCGCGGTTTTTTATTATTATAAGTTTTATCAGAAATATGTTGCTTGCAACCTCCTGTTTTATTCCCTGTGTAAACTCTTCTGACAACCACGAGATATTTTGTGGGAGTCTACTGTTCTACTGTCCATCACGCAAAAAATCTTTGAGTTAGCTCTCTCCACAGCTCGCTGAGACGCTGTGCGACGTTAAGCTTCCTCGTACCAACGACCATTTCTCAAATCAATGCGCCCTCACAAACAACACGCATTACACAATATGTAAAAAGTAATCATTACAAGCCTTCACATTCACATATTACTTTCATCCGTCGTTATACAAATTTAATCAACTTCTTTAATTTACTCGTACTAACAGTCCATCTGGTTAACAGTCATTAAGGCTACGATAGCCCATGAACACCTGCAACCAATTTCCAAACAAAAACTACAGATACACTGGTAACCCTAGGACTAAGATGGAATGACTCACAGCCTGTGATCGTAGTGCAATTATAGTGCAGCAGTAGATGCACTGCCGCTTGGCAGCAGAAATAGGTTGTAGTGTAGTATCTACCACGACTACTTTCAACGTGGGCTTGCTCGAGTTTTGATATTTACGACGAGCCTCCAGTCCCTGAACTGCCAGGGTCCTTTGACATTAATATATAGTCATAACCGCTATTTTTATGTTCCAGCTCGGTTTCCAGTTGAAGTAAATATCCAGTAAAAATCTCGGCATATTCTATAAGAGGACAATGTGAAATAAATTAATGAGCATTTAATAATTTTGTCTTTATTCAGCAACTTTAAACACACTTCATGTACGAGTAGATGTATGATTTCCCAAATATTTAATAAAAAATATTTTTAGGTTATATTTCTTAAAAACATTATGCATTGTTCCTGCGACCATATTTTATTTTAACTAACAACATCAATGTATAATAGAATACGGTGTATACAATAATAAATATTATCTCTCTTAACATGTTTTAACATAAAAGTAAAAAGTTTACGATTAAGGTGATCGCTACCAAGCTACTTCTAATTTGTTTTGTGTTTTTAATTGTGTGACATTGAGATTGTAAGCTGTTGGTGGAGCCACGTGTTTAAGGCTGCCGAAAATCTAGTTCCCCGGTCAAACCTCAAACCTATTACGCGAGATATTAACTAAAGTGGACTGTATTTGCGATTGCTTCTACGCTTACGTAAAAGCGACTACTATAGCATGCGGTACAATGCACTCGCTCTTCCCTAAACTAAAACTATTACTTGCCAAATCGATGAAAGGAATCCTGCCTGATGGGGAGAACACAGAATTGGAGCGGTTAAACAATTATTAAATATTAATCAGGCAGTAAATTAAGGAATGTTGACTCACCGGGGTTCTTCTATCCTTTAGAGCACTATAGCGGCGATTTCCGGAACCTCCTCTGGACAGACACTCTGGGGCCCCAGGAGAGAAGCGTTGTAGTTCAACGACGGCTGCGGCGGGAAGAAGAGGGCGCGCGTCGGTCGCGCGTGTCTTATATATCCTCGGGTCCGATGATTACGCGATGTTCTAGAATCGTCTTCTTTCCCCTCCCACCCCATCACCCCGATGTGTCGATAGGAGGGTACGAATGATATCGTTTGGGAAAGAGAATAATGATTCGGCAAATTCCTACCGTCAAAAATAAAAACGCGAATGGTTTTCCGCGCAACCATCTCCCCCGCCCTTGAAGGATTTCCTTCAAAAAATAACTAAACAACTAGAGCTAAGATCAACTAACAAATAACTAACTAACGCTAAGATTACCTAAATTCAACTACAATTTTAATCTAGAAATCTAATTTAAATTATGGAAGAGGCAAGGGGCACAAACGGACAACAGGACGTAGGTAAGACCCAACCGTGGTCTTAACGCAAGCTATCCTAATTACTCCGTCGGAACCGGGAAAGACCTCCTCGACGATTCCTAACGGCCAGTGGAGAGGCGGCGTATTCTCCTTAGTGAGCACAACTACCGTTCCTACAGCTAAAGGCTCTGTCGCTGTGTTCCATTTTTGCCGAGACTGCAAAGTATGCAAGTATTCCATCCTCCATCGTTTCCAAAACGATTGCACTAACCGATCTAATAATTTGTGGCGTGCGGAAATGCTAAGTCTGTTCTCATCCATATCCGCGGCGGGCAGATACCTTAGAGGCGTTAAATTCAAAAAATGTGCTGGAGTTAGAGCCAGCGGTTCCGAGGGGTCACTAGATAACGTCCGACAAAGTGGGCGGCTATTCATTACGCATTCAATTTGAGCGAGCACCGTACTTAGCTCTTCGAAGGACAAAATTTGATCTCCTATTACTCGGTATAAGTGGCTCTTTAGACTTTTAATATTAGTCTCCCAATTGCCCGCAAAATGACTCGCGGCTGGGACGTTCAGAGACCACTCAATGCGGTTCTCGGCTAGAATGTGAGCGAACTCCGAATTATAATACTTGCTAGCTAAGAGCTCATGTAGTTCCGATAGAATACGTTTTGCACCGACGTAGTTCGTACCGTTATCCGAATATAATTTACTTACAGGGCCTCTGCGGGATAGAAATCTTTTAAATGCACCCATAAAGCCTGCTGTGCTTAGATCACCCACGAGTTCTATATGCACTGCTCGAGTAGTTAGACATACGAAAATGCAGACGTAAGCCTTTGTGGATCTTATACCGCGCCCGCGAGTGAGCGTGACCTTAAACGGACCAGCAAAATCAGACCCGGTGTGCGTGAAGGGCTTTACTGATTGTATCACTCTGCAAGATCTAAGTTCCGCCATTTCCGGAAATGACGGCTTGGGGCGTGCCCGAAAGCAAGCTATACATCTGTGCACCCGATTGCGTATTGTTACGAGCTTGAGGTTCGTGACAATAAAAATTGCCGATAAAATTACCTAAATTAACACTTTAATTTACTTTACACAATTAAAGTTAAAACACTAATAATTTAAACACACTAATTCACTTAATTCCACTCCGAAGCTTCGCTTGTGTCGCCGAGTTCACTCTGCCTGCATCGCATCTTGCAGCGCCTATATATTTAAATTAGCAAAGAAATATCCAGAATGTTCAAGTAAACACGCGGAAGCTACCGAGCGTTCGAGTTTCGACTAGGCGCTGTCAGTTGAGTGATTTGTGATGTCATTTTCTCAATGCTCCCCTCACTCTCGTTCCTGACACTAGATGGCGCTAGTTGACTTATTCATGCAACACTGCCCCCTCCTAAGACATGCTCGTCCCGAGCATTATCGGTCCCATAATAACGCGCCAAGCGATCCACATGGACGATCTTAGGAGTCCCTCTTGCGCCTTTCTGTATCCGGTAGGTCACATCGTTGATCCTGGTTACAATCCGGTACGGGCCGTCCCATTTAGCTTGAAGCTTAGGAGATTTCCCTTTGCTGCGGACTGGATTGTGCAACCACACAAGTAAACCTTCGTCGAACCCTTTGTTGTTCATTTTGCGGTCGTACCGGGTTTTCATTTTCTCAGACATTTGCTGGCCCGATTGTCTGACGTGCTCATAAATGTCATTCATTTTGTTCCGCAAGTCATTTGCATAATCGGTTATACTGCGTGGGGCATCAGGTGGTATCCCGGTGATCAGGTCCGCAGGCAGCCGTAATTCTCTTCCAAAGTTTGCGAAAGCTGGTGTCACTGCTGTACTTTCGTGAACAGAACTTCGATATGACAACAAAAACGGTTGTATGTGCTTGTCCCAATCTCGTTGCCGATTGTCTACAACTTTTGCTAGGTACCTCTCCAATGTCTGATTAAATCGTTCCACCATTCCATCAGATTGCGGGTGATAAGAAGTCGTTCTTGTTTTATGAGTACCCATAACTCGGCAAGTTTCCTGGAATATTTGAGACTCAAAATTCCTTCCTTGATCGCTGTGTATCTCTAAAGGTACTCCAAAACGACAGAAGACTTCATGAACTAGTTTATCTGCAACTGTTGAAGCTTCTTGATTTGGAATGGCGAAGACTTCTGGCCACTTAGTGAAGTAATCCATCACAACCATGAAATACTTGTTACCGCTTTCACTCTCCGGAAACGGCCCCGCCACGTCAATGGCTATTCTCTCCCATGGTGCACCCACATTGTACAACTTCAATGCACCTCTACTACGAGTCTGAGGTCCCTTTACAGCCGCACAACTTGTACATTTGCGACACCAGTCCTCGACATCGTTTCGACAGTGGACCCAGTAAAACCGTTCTCGGATCTTCAGTAGAGTTCGTTTAACTCCCAGATGGCCTCCTGAATAATCATTATGGTACAGCTGTAGAACATCCGGTACTTTAGCTTTAGGGACAACCATTTGTAAATAACAGCTGTCTCCCCGAACATTTTCCCATTTACGGCACAGGACTCCATCCTGAATCAGCAAGCTGTCCCATTGGGCCCAATAGCTTTTCGTGGTTGAACTCATCGCTGAGACGTCCCTCCACTTAGGCTTGGTAGCACGGGCCTTCATCCATCCCAGAATCGGCTTGATGTCCGGATCTTCCTGCTGTGCATGTCGTAGGTTGTCCTTCCACCCGTTGCTGGGGTGGTCCGTCCTGAGCATCCTCACGGATACCACCTCCTTACTCTCTTGCCTACTACAATGGTTGCAATCTTCAGGACAAGGTCTTCTTGACAATGCATCTGCGTTGCCGTGAGATTTCCCGCTGCAGTGTCTGACAGTAAAGTCGTATTCCTGCTGCTGCTGGGCGGTGCTGTTAGCCGCACTTCCTTTCTGAGACCGTTCACCTTCCCTTCGTAGGGTGTGCTCAGGGCAGCTGGACCGAAGATGGCCCCTTTCCCCACAGCCATAGCACCTAGGGCTGTATCTTTTATTGTGGTCGCGAACCGTAACTGCTGTAACCTCCCTAGCGTGAGGTGAACGATGATCCTGTCGCCGCCAGGCAGTGCCGTTAGCTGCACTACCCTCTCGAGATCGATCAACTCTCCTTTCCACGGTTCGTTTAGGGCAGCTGGATCGAAGATGGCCCTTTTCCCCACAGCCATAGCACCTAGGGCTGTATCCTTTGCTGCGGTCGCGAACTGTAGCTGCTGCAACCTCCCTGACGCGATGGGAACGATGATCCTGCCGCACGGCTTCCACTTCCAGTGCATGGGCCAAGGCGTCCTTAAGCGTCTCGTGGTGCCCGAGCCTCACAGCAGCTCTGACTTCCAGGTCGCGGATGCCGTCGATGAATGTCTGCACCAGGTTCCCTTCAATGAGCGCAGGTACAGACCGGTATGCTTTTCGCACCAGCTTCTCCACTTCTAGAGCCCACTGCTGCAGGTTTTCGTTGATGCGCTGCACACGATCTTTAAGCTGCGCACGAAAGACGTGTTCCAGGTGAGCGTCGCCATACCTCGCCTCCAACGCCTCAAGGAGTTGCTCATAAGTCACTTCCTCGCCGAGAGCTTCCAGAACTGTTAAGGCCTGGTCGCGCAGGCCTAGTGTGAGAGCAGTCATGGCCTGACTTTTATTCCAGCCGTTCGCCTTCATAACAGCCTCGAACTGGATTTTGTAGGCTGACCAGGAAGAGGTACCATCGAACGGTGGCACCTTGAACCCACGTAGCGAAGGTGTTGTAGCTACTACGGGAGCTGTAGCTCCATCTCCAAGTTTGAGTTCGTCCAGTGATTTCTTCATGTCAGCCATTACGTTTTCAACCCGATTGTTTACTTGGTCGA